GAGTCTCGGGACATTCATGACTGACAATGATGTAGTTGGCACGGATGCACGGATCGCACGGAGCTTGTTTCTTTTTTTGTTTCTGGGGTGCTTGGCACATGGCGTAGCACGGGTGGTCTTGGCTCGACACCCGGAGTGGGCTCAGGACTGTGTTTACGAGGCTGGCGGCCGCGCGCGCGACGTCCATGATTCTTTATCTTTCTCAGCATTGCGGGCATTTGGGGCACATCAGACGAGCGAGCGAGCGAGCATTGAGCGAGTCGAGAGCAGAGGGGGGCATTCTGGGGGGCCAAAGCACCTTGACGGGCTTTCGGGAGCGGGATACTACGACACCAAGTCATCATGATTACATCGCTTTTGGTTGCGAACAGGAAGCGCCGCGTTTCTACTCCCTTTCTCTCGCCCCGAACGTGACATGACGTGACATGAGATGATGTGCTTGGGGCGTGTCTGCCTGGCGAACGCACGCCTCGAGTACATGTCCCCCTTTCGCCGCCTTCCATCCTCCAAACAGGTCCGCTGTTCAGACGACCAGTGGAATCAGCCCCCGTGGGCCCCTAAATCGCCGTGTCTCTGGTACGGCAAGTTGCGCCACGTCGTACGTGGTCCATCCGGTGGAGGAGGCGGCGCGCGCCCAAGCTCCCAACAAGTCGCCGGGCGCCTGTGTTTTTTCATTCTGTCTTCGGTCCTTTCGTTTCTCCTGATGGGGGACGTCGTAAACTTTTATCCTACAACGGCGGCCGCACGGAGCTGGAGCCGACTGGCTGGAAGTCACTAGTTATTGTGGATGGGCTTGAGTATGGAGCTGAGATGACAAGCGTCTTTGCTCCCTTCTTGCTGCGTTGCTGGCCTTGGGTCTCACGACTGACGTTTGCGGTTGCGGGGGCGTGGGCTGTCAGCCTCGTAGCTGGGGCCTTGAGGGGGGTCACTACATACGTACCGACGTACCTACCAGGTACGGCAGTGCGGTAGGCGAACCTTGGGGGCAGTTCAGTTCAGTAGTCGCTGTTCGTACAGGATGATGTAGGTACCGCGGGTAGGGACGTGTGGCCTGCGCGTTTTCTCGTGGCAGGTGTATTTTTGGCTCGGGGGCCTGAGGATCGCACGGCGCCGTCTCTGTTTTTTTTGGGGGGGGGGAGGCTGTCCTTGGGCGGCTTCCTCTAGTATACGAGACTACTACGTATACGAGAGTTCCTGCTCTGCCTGGCACGGCTGCGCGGCTCCGGTCTTGGCGGGCATGACGACTATTTTCTGCGTAGTGCTCAGGAATCCGAGCCCCCTTCCCCCCCCCCTTCCCCCAAGCCAGACCTATTCGCAGAAGAGGAGCGCCGGCCGTGGCAGAGCAGGAGGGTTCAGCGAGGCAACACGATTGGGGGGGGGTGTCTCGTGCATGAGAAGGGATGGGGGCGGGTTGCGATGATTCTTGGGTTGTTTCTTGGTGTGGTCGAATTGAGTTCCGCACATGTCGCACATGTGGGGCTTGGCGACGGCGCACGACAGACTTGCAGTTGAATGCAGGGGTGGATGGAGATACATGATATGGATACACAAACATGATTTACACACACATATTCATCATCAAAGTGAGTAGCGCGGTGGGGAGATACAGGTTCAGAATTGAAAAGAGGAGAGGAAGCCAATGGAAAGAAACTGGTAGAGGCCGGGCCAGACGCCGAGTGTCCCTCGCACAAGGTGGGTTCATTTAAAAAAAAAAAAAAATACATCGATCGATTAGAGTTCGTGGATGGTTCTGGATCGCTGCGCGGATCGGTTTGGTGGGGGATCGATAGGGAGGGGTGGGGTGGGTAGGCCTCTCTGGTATGTGTACAGAGGCATTGGGCTCGGAAATCGATGCCTTTCGTAGACCTGACGACAGGTTGACCGATGTACCAAATGTAGTCGCAGGGTACCGAATGCGTAGGGGCCACGGTACTTCTGTCGAGGCAGCTCGGCCATGACGGCAGGCTACGCAGTAAACGCATCGCCCGCTCGCTGGCGTGCGGAGGAACTGGTCATGTACCGGGTAGCAGAAAGTAAGGAGGAGAAGCTCCTGCTGCTTGGCGCGAAAACAAGGTACGCGTTCCCTGGCGGATCGAGGAATGATGCCTTCATCGCGGCGTCACGTCAAGAAGAGGGGAACACTTTTTTTTTTTTTCGCATGCGTCGGCCGTTGGGTCGACATTCGGCCCTCGGAGTGAGGAGAGCCATGGCCACGATAGAGCGAGGGGCAGAACACGGTAGGCATCCTAGGTACCTTGCCTACGTACGGTAGGAGGTACATCCAGGCATCACGATTTGGAGAATGTGCGGGGTTCCTCTCCTTGTCGGATGCGGGGAACGGAAACTGGAAACCAGCCGCGTGTTTGGGTTTAGGCCAGGGACAGGAACGGAATGGGGTAGAGGAGGGGGAGAGGGGGCATGGAAGGAGGGGGGGGGCGTGTCGATAGCAGACGAGGTACCGATCTAATGCACACCAAGCAGGTTGCTTTCCGAGGAACTGGTGGGAGGGA